GTGCTTCTGGAAAGCATCTGAGCCCCAGCCAATCGCAGCAGCCAGGCTTCCGTCACTCACAGGCGGTCGAAGGTTTGAACTCAAGCTGTCCAAACCTGCCTGAATGAGGCAAACCCCGAGAGCTGTTTCTGTACCTCACCTCTGTTCTCCATACGTCACTTTCCTTTTCTTGTGCAGAAATCTTATCCAACCGTGTGTCAGCCCCAGGGTCTCTCCGAATCTGTTCTGACGCCGGGGGCTGCCCTATTCCTGAATCATATTTTGCTTTTTTCTTGTTCAATTAAACTCTGTTAAATTTAATTTGTCTAAAGTTTTTCTTTTAACACACATTAATCATCAAACATACGTAAGTGCACCTGAGCACACACGCATGCATATCATCACCGCTACGGGGTCATCGCCTGAATCTATTTATTCCAGATAGTGTTTGGTTGATTTGCCATTATTTTAATTGCTGGAACTTAATATAAGGCAAATATTCTTTCATTGTTTTTCTTTTTCAAAAATTCCTTAACTATGCTTAACTGTTTATTTGTTCAGGTGAACTTCAAAACCATTTTGATCAAAATCCCCAAAAATATTTCATTACAATTTTCACTAAAGTAACATTAAGCTCATGAATTCCTCTAGGAAAAGCCGACATTGTGGTCCAGAATTTTATATTTTCAAATCTCTTATGCCAACAAGTAAAGTTTTGTGATTTCTTTTCATCATAGGTCAGCATGTTTCTGTTACACTTATGCATGGGTATTTTGTGTTTTTTGTTGCTATTGTGAAGAGAATAGAATCTTTTATGTTCATTTTTAGCTCCTATGTCTCTACTTATTCACTGCAGAACGGGAACAATCACTCCAGACCTGGTGTTTGCCTGCTGCTGTGGGGTCCCTTTGATTTCCTCCAGAGCAGGACCCCAGGTGCTGATGCTGAGGCCACCTCCGCTCCTCTGCCCTAGCCCACCCCCCAGAGCTGCAGGGAACTCTGAGGATTGGATCTGCACTTGCAGTGATGGGGAGGGGTTGGGGGCGCCCCCAGTAGAGGAAACCTTCTGGTGGCTGCACACCCTGATTCCTGGGGTAACTGTGAGGGGTTGAAGGAGGCCCCCGAAGGCAGAGAGGGTCTCCTTCCTTGCTGCCTTTCTACCCATTGCAGAGATCTAGGCCAGCAACCATTTCTCACATCAGCTCGACCCCTCCACGTGGAGGGGCCTTTCCTAAAGTGACTGGCAAACGATTGCTCAAAAGCCTTAATTGCCAGTGCTTTGGAGTTTGGGCTCTGTTTCTGGATTTCCTGATTGCAACATGGGGAAGTGTAAGTGTGTGCTGGGGCAAAGGGGGGTGTTGGGGAGTCCAGGCGGAGACAGCTGCTATCACGATATCAAAGTTATAATCTTCCCAAAGAGCACTGGCTTGAAGCTGCAAGTTAGGACTCCTAGACAGTTGGGGGCCACACCCCAACCCAGCTCTACTGCCTCTGCCCCTTGGTTGTGCTCGCTCCACGGGCAGGCTCAGAGAACTGCGGAGCCCCTTGGTCACGAACACATCCTGAGGCCCACCCGTGTCGAGCGCTGCTTTTACCCACAACAACGATGAGTTCAAATTTAGAAGGAGATCTGCAAGTGACACAGCACGAACATCAAGATATTAATATCCTCAAACGTCGTGCATGCACAGCAAGTCCTCACTAAGAGTCATCCACAGGTTCTCGGAAACTGTGACTGCAGTGAAATGATGTGTAAGGAGACTAATTTTCCCATAGGCTAATTGATAGAAAGAAGAGTCAAGTTACTGTGGTATATTTTGGCCACAAAGACATCGCCTAACTTCTAAATAAAGACCAAAATGCTTCTAATATTAAACGTTGATGTAAATGTGAGATGTACGTACATTTAAGAAAGATTAATAAAAACAAGTAAGATAATTATTTACCTAATAATAATTATTCCAG